TGGTGCTGAGGAATTGAACCCAGGGCCTCGAGCATGCAAGGCAAGTGCTCTACCACTGAGCCACCTTCCCAGCCCCACTTTGACTATGTTCTTCCCTGTATTATATTCCCACAACCCTCCATCGCCACCTCCCCTTCCCCAACAGGTTCTTGGCAGGGTTCATTATCTGCCCCAAAGCAGCCTTCCACTGGGTCTCCTAAGCCACCAAGTCTGTCAGACATGCATAAGCCCCGGGCTGGAATGGAAGCATCTAGGATGTGGGATTGGCAGGATTTCATTCCTAAAAGGTTGTTCCCTTTTAAATGCCCTAACCCAGCGCTCCATGTGCTTGCTGAATTTGTGCTTTCTGTTTGGTTTGACTTTCCATGACACTAAGGGAACCAATGGGATATTGGCTCTATGGCTTTTCCCGGTTCTTTTCCAAATCCTCAGGAAGCCCACAGGGGCTTGGGGAGGTAGGGACCCCAGGACCACCACCCCCTCCGCTCCCCAGGCTGGACCTATGGTCTTCTGCTGCCCCCTTGTGTCTGCATGGGTACAACCGCTGGGTGGGTGACCCTGAGGCTTGAATTCAGGGTGGCCTCACCCACCTGTGCAGGTCCATCTTCTTTTCTGTTCTTCCCCCCCCCCCATGTTTTTTTTGTGCCAGTCCTGAGGATACTGTCCCTGAGCTTCTTTTACTTAAGGCTAGCACTCTACCACTTGAACCACAGTGCCATTTCCGGCTTCTTCTGTGTCTGTGGTCCTAAGGAATCAACCCCAGGGCTTCATGCATGCTAAGCAAACACTCTATCATTGAGCCACATTCCCAGACCACTGCTGGCTTTTTTGCTGGTCTCACGGACTTTGCTGCCCAGGCTGGTTTGGAATCATGATCCTCAGATCTCAGTCTCCTGAGTAGCTGGGATTACAGGTGCGAGTCACAGTGCCTGGCTCTTAGAATCTTTCATGGGCTTCATCATGCTATTGTATATGTGTATAATCTACTGTAATCATGTTCACCCTCCTCACCCTCTCTTTCTCCTGTTCTGGCTCTCCTCTCACAATTAGCCTCCATATCAGACACACACATACATACATGCTAACAATGTACATATAGGAGTTGGGAAGGTGGCTCAGTGGTAGAGTGCTTGCCTTGCATGCATGAGGCCCTGAGTTCCATTCCTCAGCATCACATAAGCAGAAAAAGCTGGAAGAGGCGCTGTGGCTCAAGTGGTAGAGCGCTAGCCTTGAGCAGAAGAGCTGAGGGACAGTGCTCAGGCCCAGAGTTCAGGCCCCACGAACGACAAAAAAAAAAAGGTGAATGTACATACAGCAATCTCTTCACTCATTCATGCACAGACCAAGGGGGTAGTCCCTCAATCTACCATCCGAGTTGAGCCTCCCTTTCCTCTTCCTCCCAGAAAACACCAGGGCTCCCTTGTACCTCTGCTCCCCTCCCTCCCAGAGACCAGATACCTGGATGTTGGTGTTTTGTGAGTCCCTCCTTTCTTGGCCTCCCCATCTCTGCCTCCCCGACAGGGATCTAACTCTGCCCCAGCCGGCTTGGAGCTTTGGCTCA